AATATGTGGAGGGAGAGCTCAAATCTCAGTCTAGGTTTTCTACCAAGCAAATTCTAGCCTAAGTTTTATTCCAACCAAAAAACACTTCAATCAATTAAATAAGTTTATTTCCAAAAAAAAGCACAGCGTCAATACAGCAAGGAACAGTTCAAGAGAAGATAAAGCCCAGAACGAAAGAAGCCCAGTACGAAAGCTAGAACAGAAGCTAAAACAGAAAGAAGCTAAAACAGAATGAAGCTAATTGGGGTTTGGAAGGGGAGATTATATAGGCCATAAAAATAGGCGGGTAGAATTAGAAAATATTTCGATCATTAAAACATAATAGGAGCGATAAAATAAAATGCACATTTTTTGAATAATACAAAAGAGGAAAAAATTAAGTTAAGTTTTAGAACAAAAGGACTAAAAAATGTAAATAGAGTTTGAATAGATGTTTACAGCAAAAAATGATTTTTAGCCAGGTGAAAGTCCGAAAAAAGGAATTTGCAAAAAGTGATGATTAATTTAGAAATAAATTAAAATATATTTATTTTATTTTCCTCATCTTTAGTCGCTTCGCGACATTCTGTACATGCGGCATGTTTAATGCTTCAGCCTTACCCTGTTGGCCTTCCAAATTTCTTTCATCTCGGCCTGTATATTACGAACGTGGTAAAATAAAGCGGTCGTTATTCCTCTATCCGTGCACAAAATTCCAATCCCATGATATTTCTCTATTTAAATTTTACGTTGATCAACAACAACACAAATTAGTCATTTCGAATCTATATAATATAAAATTCTGGCTTTGCTTGTTAAAAAATATCAAGCGAAAAATTCAAAAAAATTTTGTAGACTATGAAATTCTGTAGATTATGAGAAATGAAACGTTGTTAGTTAAATAATTACTAGATATCTGATCATATAAAGTAAAGCAGCTGGGCTAAGCTATTTCTTTCCTTTAGCTAGTGCAAAAGGTTAATCGGCGGCTGTTAGCAAACCAGCATCCTCAGTAGACCGGACTTGGCGAATTCACAATAACCGAGAGAACCGTTAATAAAAAGCTTAGCATATTACTTTCATAACTCTTATTAAATATATCATTGATTATTAACTTTTCAGGTTGGTCAAACAACATACCCACAACATGAAGGCCAACAAAATTCGAGTCATTCAGTATACTTACCACAAGGAGGACAACAATCTTTTAATCATGCAGCATACCCACCGCAAGAAGGTCAACATTTAGACTATTCAGCATACCCACTCCAAGGATGGCAACAATATTATGGTTATCCAGCATACCAATCTGGAGATCATCAACATTTTAGTTATCCAGCATACACTCTCCACGAATGGCAACATTTTACACAATTACCAACAAATATAGGACACCAAGAACAACATATTGGTCATACAACACACACAACCTATGGAGATGGTACTGGCAGCAGTAATGCGGAGGGTGGAGACGAAGATTTAGACTTGGAATTGAAGCTTTAGTATATGATTCGCAAATATGAGTCAACAATTTGGTTATTCTCTGGGGTATTTAAAAAAAGTTGAGATTTTTAAAGGGATTTATTAGAACCCCTCTGACATCATTTTAGTAAAATTTAACTTCATTATTAATATAAGTTCCGTAAAACTATATTAGTTTTTTAGCATGCTACAGTCCTGATTTTTATCAAATACTAAATTATTTGTTTTAATTTTTTGTATTTCCTATAAAATAACCCCTAGGTTTATTTTTCGATCGACATGGGTTATTCTAGAGGAGATGGGTGAGTTTTTTAGAGGAAATCAGTATATTTGCTTTTCTTAAAAATTTTCCAGACCTGGTCACGGATACTGATCTTGTTATCCGTATCCGGTTATTTACGGCGGATACATGCGGATATCCGCAGGCATTTTGTTATTATCTGTATCCGTATCCATGGGTAGGTCTGAAATTTTCTGTCATTTAATTTTTTAGACAGGGTCATGGACACAGATTTTCTATCCGTATCTGGATATATCCGTGAAATCAATATCCGTATCCGTTCATATCTGTGTAAAATGTTTCATATCCATTATCAAGGTTTGGAGCTTATTATCCGTATACATCAGTTTCCGTCCGATTGTGGAAAACATAAACCATCTATGTCCATATCAGCATATACCCACGGATTTTAGGATATTATCTGTATCCATGACCAGTTCTGTATTTTTCCACTATTTTTGGGTCGAATTCATAAATTTAAAAAGGTCTCTCTTTAAAAGAGAAATATTCAGAATCATTTTTTTAAAAACTAAGGGTTGTAAACTTTTTTCCATATTTTTTCCATGCCTTTTTACTTTCTGATAAAAACATATTAAAACTTCTTTTAGCATTTTTTTTACAAGATATGTTGATTTTATATTTATAAAGACATTTTTCTAAAATTTTTCATAATTATTTAAATGAATCTAAACATTATTAGATAGACTTCCACAGATGGGGATGACGAGATGCCTCAAAATTAGAATGTCGTACGGGAATCAGTTTGAAGTCTCGAAAAATTCTCGATAAAAATTCTCGACCCGAGATAAATCTCGATCGAAATCTCGTCTCGGTCCGGTTTCTACTAAAAAATTTATATGGATATGAAACTATGTAAATAATTCTGTTAAATCCCAAGTTAAATTAATATTAAAAATTGCTAAAAAATAATATTATTTACAGAAAAGATTAAAAAAGATGACACTTTGGAGGTCTTTAACGACCACAAAGTACTCTCTTATATAACAATATAATAAAGTTATTTATCTTTTTGATCAAATTATATAATACTTTAAGTTATTATAATAATAGAAACATTTATAAACTAAAGTTGAAAGTGTAAAAAAATTCTTTATTGATTGAAAAATTTTTGTAGTAGTTCTAAAATATTCATAAGTTAAAAAAAAGTGAATTTTTGGCATAATAAAAAATAATTTCTTCACTAACCTTGTATCTGATATAGTTTCCATTCTTGATATTAGCCATTGATGATAGCAGGCTCACAATGTCGTTGAGATCGCAATATTAGTGACAACTCTTTGGTCCGTCTCTTATATAAGGTATCTTTACAAAATCCGCAAAAAAGTATTTATTGAAGTGTTGAGGAGTTATGATCTGTGTGACAAAATATTTCCTTAAATATTCTCAATATTAACAATAGCTCACAAAATCGTACTAAGTATTTAATTTAAAAATTCAATTAATTAAACTTAATTATAATATTTAATATTGTGTAATTCGGACACTTTTGTAAATTTATTATTCTTATTTTTGGAATTGGAAGTAGTTTAGCTCGCTTACTTAAAATTTTTCGTTTTAAATTATTTTACGATAGCGACGAAATTTTTTTAAAAAATAAATTTTTTAGGGCTTTCTATTAGTAAGGTAATACACAAATTTGTTTGTTATAAGGTAGAAAATTTGTTGAAAATAATTAGTGTAAAATCTTTAAAACTTAAATATAATATTGCACTTATTCTTTAGATTTAAGATATCAGACGACCAAAAAACTTTTTTCAGTAAAACTTAAAGTTTAAAACACATTTTTTGAAAAATTTTTCTTAATTTTAATTTAATTTTCAAGTCACGTTTATTTATAAAAAATATTTACTTTAAATGTCACTCACAAACGACAACTGTCACAACGGAAAAAATTTTTAAAATTTTATTTAAAAATTTTTCCTTCCGTTCTTTCCTCTTTCTTCAATTTAAAATGCACTTATTTGTTAGCTTTGCATTTTTTAAAATATTTCAGTCACGTTTCTATTTAATTAAATATTATATTCTTTATGTTGTTTACTTCCGTAATTTTCTTTGAGAAAAGAAAAAAATTTTACTTCCGTAAACATATACTTTTAAAAATTCTTTTTGTTCTATTAAAGCACAATTAAAGTCCAAATATCTGTTTTTTATTTACTTATGGGAGCAGAGAAGAGTACATGTCTTCAGCGCTACACAGTGCTGTTCAAAATTATAAGCGCTTGAAAAATTATGTAACTCGGGACCGAGTTAACCAAATATTATCAAATTTTGAATTAAAATACTACAACAGATTAGAAACATGATGATATCAAAAGATTTCGAAATTATTCAGTTGAATTCAAAAAATTCAAAATTTTCAAAAAATCCTCTAAATTTACCTGTTCAAAAAAATTACCTGAGTAAAGCAGCTAGGCTATAGCTATTTCTCTCCATTAATTAATGCAAAAGGTCATTCGGCGGCTGGGAGCGAACCAGCACCTTAAGTAGACCGGACTGATGTGTTAGCCATACACCACGGTTCTTACTGCACAGCCCTAGGAATTAAATAGCTATATGATTTACACCTGTTTTAGAAGGTCAGCAAGCCATATTTCATCTATATTTTTCATGGAAAAGAGGATTTTGCGGATACATACATGAGATGTCTATACGATATTCTCGTTTAAATTTAACTCTCATTAAATTTTTTTACTACTACGTGTTATATGAGTCAGATTAAGCTGTATATCGTATTTTTTCTGATAAAAGCACAACTGCTATAAAGCATCTTTCTTCTTTGGAGTAGGATGTGATTGTATCATTAGCAAAGACAAAAATGAAAAACCTTACAAAAATTTTCCAAAATTTCAAAATTTTTTTCAAAATTTTCTTACCCTTACTTAACCTGTTTTTACATTTTTGTCAAAATTTCATCACAATATTTACTTCCCTCCCTCTATATTCTTTCATTATTTCCCCATTACTACATCCATCCAACAACCACCGCTTTTTTCCTCCCCAAAATATTATATTGATTCTCTACGCTCTCGCTAAAATAAAAAGAAAAATTTACAAAATGTCAACCTTAACTATACAATTGTTTAATTAAATAAGTATTGTTTTAAAAATTTTTTTTATTCTAGGAGGGCAGAATTCTTTTAAGTAGAACCTTCTAATTTATGTACACCCTCAATTAAAAGAGGTTATCTTTTTAAGTTTGATTAGTCACTGGGTTGAAGCCTCCCTCCCTCCTTGAAGCTTCCCTCCCTCTTTAAAGCCTCCCTTCCTTTTCCCTTCAAGCTTCCCTTCACAACAGGTATCTTCCGGCTTCCTCAGAATGCCCTCACAGAATGTCCTCCCTCCCTCCTTGAAGCCTCCCTTCCTCCTCCCTTCAAGCTTTACTTATGGGTATCTTCCGGCTTCCGGAGTATGCCTCCGTAAACTTTTTTACTTCCGCGCTTTGTCTTGCGCTTCATGTTCTGTTGCGCTTTTATCACCTTTCCGTTTACCTCTCTGAAATGGGGTAGATCGTCTTCTGTGATAGAACCCATCCCTTGTGGATAGGATCTTCCCAATAATAATCCAACACTTCTTTTTATGTACAATTTTCCTAGCTCTAAGAGTGTACAAAAATAGAGGTCTGTTTATTATAACAAAAAAATGATTTTTAAATTTTTAATAGGATTTATCTGGACTATTGAAATGTGATTTTAACATAAAATACCTATGTTGACAGATTTATCAGAACCTAACAAAACGTTTATTTATTTTTGTTAAAAAATATTTTTTTAATTTTATATAAACACTTTTTAATCCTCTTGCATATTTTCTCTTTTCTCGACAGCTGTCACTTTACATGTTAAGCCCCACGTGGTCATAATACATATTATCCTCTTTTAAGTCTTTTTTTGAGAATTTAGGCATAAAAATCAAATCCTAGTTTTTGTTTTGAAAAATTTTCTGATTAAAGTTAATCAGAAAATTTTTTAATTATTTAATAAAATTATCAAAATCCGACCATTTTTCGTAATTAATTTTATTTTTTCTCAACCTCATGCTCTCACCCGTCCTCATATTTCCCAAGATCCTAGCCCTTTGAATTTTTTACCTAATTTTAACACATTTATTCCAATAGAAAGGCTTTCCTTTGTATTCTCTCGTTCTTTACCTTCACGACGCCTTTCTATTGGAGAGTACCGTTCTTATTATTCCTGCCTATTTAATAGAATATTTTTATGGAGAAATTTATTGTTAATTATTTTACAAATTTTCGAGAGAAAATAATAATTCTTACCAATTATCAAAAATAATTCACTTAATAAATCACTTAATTTCTGTGTAGTCCAAGTTCGTCAGCAAAATTAATTTATATTTTTTCTTATTTTTTTCTTTGCAAAAATTTTTCGAAAAAATAAAAATAAATTAGAAAAAAAGGACAATAAAAATAAAAAAAATTTTTTTCTCTCCTTTTCTCGAACATTCTTTTAACAACTAGAGAAAGCGTCGTTTCTCCCCTTTCCTTTCTCTCACTTCCCCTTTAATCGCCTACTTTATTTAATTCGCCAAAAACGATGTGAGCTTTAACAATTTATTATATTTAATTCTTTTATTCCTTGGAGTCTTTTTTAATTGTAAAAAATTATAGCATCAGTCAAGAAAATAAAAATAATCAACAAATAAACATTCCATTTTAATTAATCCGCAAAAATTTTTGCGGATTAATTTTGCGGACAATAATTTTGGATCTTAATTAAATTTCTTTATTTAGCGGATTTATATATAAGGCTTCTCCAATATTATTTTTGAGAAGTAAAATTTTTTGTTTAGCAAAGGAGCGGAAGACTTTTTTCGCTTGATGCCTGAGAATATTAAAAAATTGATGCATACATGCTACCTTTATGGTCTAATTAATACTTTTCATGTCTAATTTAATACTTTTTAACTAGGGTTGCTCGTTTTCGGTTATTAACCGGTACCCTAGGTTTTCGGTTATGGCCGGTTTTCGACCCCCGGTTTTCAGTTTTTGACTTACCCCGATTTTTGGTTAACCGAAACCGGTTTTTGACTAAATTTCTCATCCAGAATATCCCATTCATATTTTATTCAATTAAAATACTTTAACATCTACTCTGTGAATCAGGCGCTGAATAATTTTAAAATTTCAACAATTTGAGGGAGAACGGAACATGTCGGAGAGCGGAACATCTCGGATAGAGCGGAACATGTCGGAATTCCCTTTAAGACTGTACGGGCAGTGAAGGTTTCCTTCACGCCTACCAAATAAAACAAAAAAAGGAAATTGTTTATTGGTATAGGACACTTGAGGGGTTATCTACCTTGTAATGGAGAGCTTCCAGAGCAAGTCCCAACCATTCTGCTATTTTCTGGGATCAAGTTAGGCTGCTTTTCTCTCCCCCAAATTTGTATTAGTCAAATAGGATTGTTCCCCGACGGTAGAGAGGGCCGCGGGGAAAAAATTCCCCGACCTTCGGAGACGGGGAACAACCATATTAGTCAAATAACCTAACGGAAAAATTTTTTAAAAAATTTAAAAAAGACTCTTTAAATTAATAATAAGCTTCGTTACTAAATTATATTTTTCCCTCTTTTTATTTTTCTTAGCAAAATAACTGCACAAATAAAAATAAAATTATTTTTGTTTACCTTTCCTAAATTTTGTCTTTATTTAAAAAACTGTCCAATATTGTTAACTAAATTCTTATCTTTTATTTAAAAATGTTTCCTTATTTTATGGCCCATAAATTTTATTCTTATGATGAAAACGAATGATGCTATTCTTTAGAGTCAGCAAAAAATTTGTCCGCAAAAATTGTCCGCAAATTTTTTGCGGACAATTTTTTTCTTTTAATGCAGTCACAAAAATAGAAATTAAAAAAATTTACATCTCTTTATCATCTTATTTTTAATACTTTATTCATTTTATCAATTCTATTTAAAAATTTTTTTTACCTTTTTTGCATATTTTTTGATTAAATACGCACAGAGAATCCCTCAAAAACCGTGCCTTTTTAGGCGCAGTAACATTTAGACGGGCATTCATAAAAAAGTCAAATTAAAAGCTAGAGTCGTGAAATTTTGTAGAAATGTTAATAATACTATTAGCTAACTTGTCTAAAAATTTCAGAATTTTCCGATAAAAATCAGAAGAATTATGAACAAAAATGTCAGAATTTTGAGGAAAATTGCCCATTTTTAGCGGGTTTTCGGCCATAACTTTTGAATTACTGTAGCAAAAATTCTGAAATTTTTACACAAATTGGATAACGTTATTACAAAGTTTGTCTCAAAATTTCACTTCTTTAGGTGCTCGTCTGACTATTTTATTAACGAAGTAAACGGAAATGCCAAAATTTCGAGCAAAAATGCCTATTTTTCGAGGGTTTTCGGCCATAACTTTTGAAATACTTTACCAAAAATTCTCAAATTTTTATAATTGTTGTGTAACTCTATTACAACGTTTTCCACAAAATTTCACTTCTCTACATGCTCATCTCACTATTTTATAAATTCCCGCCCAACCCTTACCAACGCCCCTAAAACCCTCTTTACCAACCACTTTTAACCCTATCAAAAATAATAAATTTTCCTTTTTTTATTTTGTTATCGATAACGTGTCGTATATTTACCATTCTTTGTGGTCCTTAAACTCTTTTTTTCTTTTCTTTTTTTTACTTTTTATTTGGGACGAATTGTCAATCAGTCAGATGGTCGGGGATTTTTTTCCCTTAAACACCCGTAATAAATAGGAGGGCAAACACACGCCTTCCATTCATTCTCTCCCTTTTTTCTCTTCATTTTCTCTTTTATTATAAAATTTTTTGGCCATTGCAAAGTTGTTTGTGAATTACTTAAACCTCTTTATTTTACGAGAATTTTATTAAATAATAAATTTTGTTGTTGATAAAATTTATTTTTTTAATTTTTTTTATCTTTTCTTAAAGTGTTTATTACAAAATATAGGGAATATTTATTTTGTTTTTGATTAATTTGTTAATATTTTTGGTTTAAAATTGTTTTCGAAATAATTTTTAAAAAAGTCATCTTAAATAAGTTCACCCTCCTCTCTTTTTGCCATCTTACTTTGCTTTCTTGATATTTACCATGAATAATGTAAAGTGCTTATGACCTTCCGTAAATGATCACTCTTATTCATTCCCTATTTAACGTTGTAATTTTCGTCTGAAACATATCTATTTTTTTGATAAATTTCTTTGGATTACAATGCAGGTGAATCATTTAGTCGTGGATAATAACCCTAACTTGAAAAACTTTGAGAATCTTTGTAACTTTTGATTTCTTCTGTCAAACATGGTATAAGTCAACCTGTCTCTTAAAAATTTGGAGAGTACTAATTGTCTCTCCATACAAAAATAATAGGGATAAGAAAATAGAGTTCTATTTTATCGAAAATTAAATGAACTTATATAAAATTATTATTGTATTTTTATATATGTATTAAGTACTTTCATATATTAAGTAACTTCTTCAAACACAACAGAAGACAATCTGTCGTGTAAAAATTTGGAAAGTACTTATTGACTCTCCATCCAAAAATAATCAACACAATTAACAGAGCCCTCAACTCACAGCTAAAATTAAATAAACTTATATAAAGTTATTATTGTATTTTTATATATTAAGTAGATACCCTTTAAAATTTCAACCTTTTTTCTCTTAACAGCCTTACAATTTTTTAAATTTAATTTTCTTTCCAGAATTCGATAAACTATTTAATTACTGCCAAAAAACTACTACCAACTACTTCAATTAACCAACACAAAAATGTGTCGTTTTCAATGTAGCGATCCAAAAACGTGTAAAGTACCTAAATACGTTTTAGGACCACTCAAACAACAATTATTAACTTCGACTACAACAGATTCATTTAATCAGAATTGCCCTCCTTCCCCTCCCAAATTTGTGCGGAATCGGAGTGTTTCATGTAAGGGAGCTTTTTTAAATTTAAAAATTGTTCTAAGTTAAAGCTCCGTCACAATTACACTCACATAGTGATTTAGGAACATAGTATCTTGTTGAGGTTATCATAGAATGGGGTGTAGTTATGATAGTTCCCTCCCTTACTACTAAATTTTAAAAGTATCTTTAGTTTAGGAGTTGATTCCCTCTCATAATTCCGACCGGTGGGTCCTATTTCGGGGTCACTTTAGTACGTGGGTGCAGGCTTTAAAATAAAAATGTTATATCATTTGAAAGTGCTAGTCGAGCTGAGTCGAATGCCACCAAAATTAGCTCTAGGAAAAATTTTTGAACCGAGATACGGGCGATTGAAAATCGAAAAACCATAGGGGGGACCAAGCACTTTTTTGTGGTGAAAAATTCGAAAATGCAAATGCAAAATTCGAAAATGCAAACTCGAAGACTTTCGATTCTTATTTTTAAAATCTTTTTTCAGTTTTTTCTGGCTCCTCAGATTCAGAATATTCTAGCAGTGATGATGAATGTTTCCCCTTCGAACAAAATATTCGGCAAAAGCAACGTTTCTCTCCCTTAAATACACCTGAATGTCTTTCAACAGACAATTTAACAATACCTGAAATTACAACGATGACCTCAAATGAATCTTCTGTTGATTCTGGTTTTGTTGAAGAGGAAAAAAATTCAAAAAAGGTGAATAAATTGAATAAAGATGGGAATATTAAGAGAAAGTTGTTGTTTACTTGAACTAACATATTTCGGTCAAATAAGCACCTAAAATTCTGAAATTTTGCACAGAACACGTTTATTGTATTTTCCAACAATGCTCAAAATTTGAGAATTTTTTATTAATTTCTGATTGAGTTCTGGTCGAAAATATACGTCAAACTGTCAAAAAACGTTGAGTTGTAGTTACCTTTTCGACCATAACTTGGGAAATAATGAACTAAAAATTCTGAAATTTTTAGAGGGGTTAGAAAATGCATTGCAGAACAGCTTCACAAAATTTCAGATTTCTAACTTCACTAAAAAAATTTTTTATAAATAAATAATTAACGTTGGTTCATGGATACAATGCCTACAAATTAATTAGAAAAATAAACTTTTTTTTAATTTAATAAATTTAGGCAGCAATCGAAACCAAAGAAGAAGAAGCTAAAGAAGATGTTAAGCCCCAAATAAAGTCAATTTTGCTCAAACAAAGATTTATAGTCGAAGAAAAACCAAAAAAGAAAGTCAAATTTGCCGATGATTGCGGCCAGTTTTTGTGTAAAGTTCGGTGTATTCCCGCAAGAGAAAAAATTGATATTTTGTGGAATGATGTTGTTGATTTAAGGGAGACGAGTAGGGCCGATAATGGTAAAATTTTAAATTTGAAAAAGATTTTATAAAAATTTTTTCTTTAGATTCTACGAGTTGGAGGGATGTTCTATTGTTTAAATTAATTATGACTGCAGGCTTTAGGCAAGCTTTCTTTTTTGGAAATTAGTTATATTTGGCTGTCGAGGGTAATTCCAAAAAACCTTTTGGCCCATAAGACCTCTAATTTTTAAGAGAATATCAGAAGAGAATATCAAGGGATTTGGAAGGAATAAGGGGATATCGAGGGATTTAGTTTTTAAAGGGGATATGGATCTCTATCAACCCAGAGTTTAGGTACACACTAAAAATATGGCACCATTGGTTCTAAAATACATACTGGGTACATATCTTCGCAAAGCTGGGTATTTATCCTCCTTAATCCCTCGATATTCGCTTTAAGGTTTAGGGAGTCTTTTGGATTCAGGTCTTTTGGGGTTGACTCGGCTGTCGTTATCTTCAGCCTTACTTGAGTATTTCCTTCTCTTTTTTTAATCAAATAAAATTTTCCCCTCTTTTTTCGATGGGAGAGGGGATTATTTTTCCATATTGATAAATTTATTATTTTCAAGGACGTTCCCAAAATTTTTCGAAATTTTTGTCAACGAAAACGGGTGTCTTCCTCGATTTCCCCCAATCTCTTTCTTGGTGCTTACTTTCCCTTCTCGTCTTCCTAAATTTATGTTAAACCCCCTATCTACTTTGTTAATTCCCCCAACCAACCCCTCAATTCTTTTTTTCTCTAAAATTTTTAAACGACCAAAGAATTAGTTAATATTCGGTGATTAAATTTATTATATTAGTTTTGATAACACAAATAAAAAACGTTTCTTCTAGTAATAAATGTCATTTTCAATAATTGAAAAAAATTTAGAGGGAAAATAGTAAAATAGAAATGACATTAAAAAGGTTCTTTTTCGATGAGGGACGATCGGTATCGAGTTAACGAAAAAAATAACCTCTGACGTGTTCACTTTGAACTAAAACATAAAAGGCTCTTTTCTTCAATAGGAAAATGTCTTTGGTCTGTGTAAAATTTTAGAGAAGAAGAAGATTCAAGACCCGATGGCCATAGGTCCTTAAACCAATCTAGTAGCTGTTCTTAGTACATTAACAGTTAATCAGTTATGTCCTCTGATATTTCAGCTCCTATATTTTCACCTTTTCTATCAAAAAAATTTTTTTAATAAAATAAAAATTTAATTTATTTTAGTGTTGGAACTCCATTAAATTCCTCTACAACAACCTCTAATAATAATATTTGTGTTGGCGGGACAACCAACAAACCGGTTAACAACGGATTAGGATTTGCCTAAAAATAGAAGGAAATAAAGCAGCTGGGAAGCACTTTTAGAGAGCCATTTAACACACAAACACATTTCCAGATTTTTTCTTTTGATTTTTTTAAAATTTTTAATAATTAATTTAATTTTTTAATTCTTTTCCCTATGGATAAGGCTATAAAATTCTCAAAAATTGAAAAAAAATTTTTTAGTAATTTTTTTCCCTCTAAAAATGTTTAAAAATAAATTACGTACACTCTACTTATTTTTTAAAAAATTTTACACAATAGTTAAAAATTTATTTAATTGAAATTTACCTAAAATAGCGCCTATTCCCCCTTCAATTTTTAATATTGCAAAAACATTTTATAATTTTTGACTTTTCTATAAATAAACTTGGCTTGTTTAAATATGCCTATTTTAAAGCTTTTATAGGCTTCAGTTAATATTATTATTTAAATCAGGGATGTCACGGGTTGAGAAAAATGTCGGGTCGGGTTTCGGGTCGGGTTTCCAAAATTTTTCTCGGATCGGGTTTCGGGTTTCGGGTTGAGCAAAAAGTCGGATCGGGTTTCGGATCGGGTTTTCAAAATTTTCTTCGGATCGGGTTTCGGGTTTCGGGTCGAAAAAAAGCCAAAATTTTGAGAATTTTGGAAGGCCAAAAAGCCAAAAATCTTCCCTTCTCAGCGCCGCAGGCGAAAATTTTGAGAATTCTTGAAGGTCCTAAGCCAGATTTCTTCTTTTTTCAGCGCCGCAGGCGAAAATTTTCAGAATTTTGGAAGATCATTAAGCTAAAAATCTTCCCTTTTTCTGCGACGCGGGCGAAAATTTTGAGAAAACTCGGGTCGGGTTTCGGGTCGGGTTTTGAAAAATAAAAATTCTCGGGTCGGGTTTCGGGTCGGGTTTTAGAAAATTTCTCGGATCGGGTTTCGGGTATCGGGTCGAAAAAAAGGCCGGGTTTCGGGTTTCGGGTATCGGGTTTCGGGTAACCCGTGACATCCCTGATTTAAATGTTGCTATAAAAGCGTTAAAATATGCTTGTTTAATAGAAAATGTTTTAATTGTTTGAAAACAAGTTTATTTAATTCAGTACATGTTTTATTTGACTAAAACATGTTTAATTAAATAAAACATGTTTGGTAAAAATAAATCAAGTTTATTTTTCATAAAACAAGTTTATTTATTACAAAAACATGTTTTTAGCGACTAAAACAAGTTTTATTGACTAAAACTTGTTTAGTTAACTAAAACTTGTTTAATGATCTAAAACAAGTTTGTTAAATATTAAATCAACCTTATTTAATATTTAAAAAGCCCCTAGTTTCTCTTCTGAACAAGTTTGTTAAAAATATAAATTAACGGTTATTAAAGTTTATTTTTGGAAACAGTTTAACATTAAAGTTTCTGCAACTTTAAATGCTTAATATTAAATATATTATTATTTTTTGTTTTTTAATCTCTTAAAATGAATAATTAACCTCTCCAGCTGTGTGCGTAATTTAATGCCAATTTTCACAGTTTTTTAGTTTTTTTTTTAAGTTTTTTGTTAAAGCTAGAATTTTATATGTTATGTTAACATTTTATTAATCTTATTTACTCTATTTTCTATATTTAATGCAGTTTTTAAATTTAAATATTTTAATATATTATATGTATTGTAATAAATAATTAATTTAAATTGAATAAAGAGATTATGAAAATTTTTTCTAACTTTTTTAAAAATTATTTTATTTGTCAAAAGTATGTTACTTTTTTAGTATCCAACTCCCAAACCCAACTCCGAAGGCGCTAACCCTACTAGAAAATCTCGTATGTGGGTTATAGTAATTTTAAATTATATAATTTTTCTTACATTTTTTTCGTTCAAATTTATTTAAAATTAATTTTTCTTTTTTGCGGGGTTCCTATTTAATCTTTTTTTAATTTTCGTTTTAAATTTATCCCAAAATTTTTTAATATTTTCTACATTTTTTAAATTTTAATAGAATTCTGCAAGAAACTTTTTTTTCAAAATTTAAATTGCCCATTTTAATAAAAATGTGTTGGAAAAATATTAGATTTTAAAAGGAAATCGTCAATTACCTAAATATATAAGAACATAAAAACGTGTTGTGTATTATAGTATCTCTAAAATTTTTCAATTTTCTTTAAAAATTTTAAAAATTTTCTTTTATTCATATTTTCAATTTTTTAACAATTCTTTGCTCAATTTATTTTTGGAAAATTAAAAAAATTTCAAAACTGAACACTTTTTAGGGTTTTCTCTCCGTTTTTTTTGCTGTACTTCTTTTTGTTCTGAAATTTTTGAATTTTATTAGTCTATTTTCTTACTCTGTTGATACTCTTCATTATGTAATTTATACCCTTCGAATAAATTACTCAACAATCTTACGTCAGTATCTTAAATGAAAAAAATAATTTTTAAATTTTAAAAGAATTCTACTTAATATATAATAATTGAATAATTAGTTTACCTAAGTTTTTAAAAGCTGACTTGAATCGTCAAAAATTTGCCTCGGAGTAATATTTTTGGATGGGGAGCCTTTTTGGGTTCTCCAAACTTTTTCGCTAATTATGATTACAAGAGAACATAAATTAATCTATTTAATATATAAAGATGCGTTATTTATTTCATATAAGCATAATGAAAAAGTAGTAAATATTTCTTCTTGAAGCACCTGTGGATATTTTTGGATGGGAAGTCGGTTAAGGCTTTCCAAATTAATCTTCAGGTTCTCAATGTTCTACTGGTAAATGTTTTCTAATAGCTAAAGTGATATTGCGTTTTTGACCAAAATTCATTAATTATTCTTTAAACTAATTCACTTTTTGTCGGATCGGATAAATTTGAAATAAACGGCCAAGTCAACCGGCCTTGACGTCGTTTCTGAACTGTGAAACCATCAATGGCAACTTGAACGCGGTCCAGGATTGTATGATAGAGATCCCCATTAAATCCGATGCCTCTAGGAATTAATTCCCAGTGTACCAGGGCTGGGCGATTTCGCATTTTCGCGTTTCGCATTTTTCACATTTTTTGGCGCGAAAAGTTTCGCATTCCGCATTTCGCTTTTTATTTTTTCATTTCGCCCAGCCCTGCAGTGTACAATCAAGGGGCTCATTCTTCTCAAAGGGCTCATTCTTTTTGGGTTAACCCATTAATATATAAAATTTCATTAATAATTTTAACTAAATTTATTAAAAGTTTGGTTGAAACGTAGGGCCATTTGTAGAAAATACAGATAATATTTTTGAATGGAGCATATTAGGATGCTCCAAATCATTTATTTTTATCAGTGTTGGAGTGCAATAGGTGCATAAAATTTCTAAAATTATAATTTGCTAAAATAATTACCCTTTACAGCTAAGTGTAATAGAGTAATTTGTTATTTAAGAAAATAAGTAGTTTCTTGATAATTCTCAATTTTGAAAAAACTAGAATTTTTAGATTTTAATGTATTATATTTTTTAAATAATTTTAGTAATATAAACACTAAAAAGTTAAGAGTATTCTTCAAGAAGTCCTGTCTCGGAAAATTTCAATATTTTAAAACATCCTAGAGTTTTTACAGTCTTTATCTTTGTATTGTGTTTTTAAATTTCCTTAGCTACTCAATTTTTTAATATTTTTTTATCATTGTTGGATAAAAAAAATTTTTATATAATAAAAAATTTGTTGGATAAAAAAATAAAAAAAATTTTTTTTTTATCATTGTTTCCTTAGCTACTCTATTTTTTAATACTTTAAGTAATAAAAATAGTTTTTTTCTATTTTTGGCAAACTATTTCCGCTATTTAAAATATTCGGAAAAAGAAAATTTTTTAAAAAAAGCGTAAAAAAGCTTGTCCTGTGGAAATTAGGTTGTTTCTAATTTTGTTAATTCCATCAAACCAAGCTGATTTTGATGCCATTCGACTCATCTCACTGATATCTTTCTAACAGATAACTTGTTATTTTTAAAAACGATGGTAGGCAGTTAGGCCAAACCTTTTAAATAATTACCCTCTCCAGTTATAAGTTGATAAAATAATTACGAAGATTAATTATATAAAAATCCCATAGCTCAAATTCTACATAATATATAAGAATTCAATATCTTTTTATTTAGGAATGTTATAAAAATTTTCACAGTCTTTTCAAAATAAGCAAATTATTTTTGAATGGGGAGTCAACTGGACTACCCAAATTATCCTTTAATATATGTATTTTTTCATAATTTTAATAATAAATATATTTTTTTTCTATTTATAGCAGTGTTTCCGCTATTTAAAATATTCATAAATAGAAATAAAAAATAAATAATTTAACCAATTTTAAATATTTTATTAAATATATTATTTTCATTTTTTTCAAATTCATTCTTTCGCTTATAGTTAGAAAATTTAAAAAATTTCCACAAAATTATTTCCCTTAAATTTCCTCACAATATAAATTTAATATCAAAATTTTCCCAAAAAAACAATTTTTTATTTTAAAAATCCCAATTCTTATGTTAAAATTAAAACATTTTTTTCTAAAAGAAACCTGGCATATGACTTTTAATATAAAATTATATATTATGTATTTTATTTTTAATAATATTCACCCAACCATGCATTTATTTATTCATTTCTCTAAAAAAAACTTTTTCCTATTTTATAATAAATAGCTTTGGCAGCTGAAAGGTTTTTAGACAAAAAATTGTCTAAAATGCAAAAAAAAGTTTCTGTGTGGGCTTAAATAATGAAAAGATTTTTAACAAAAAATTGAAGAATTTTAAGTCTATTTTATATTTTATGGGCTCAATGTAAAAAATCTTAAATCCCTAGTTTATAGAACGCATTTCATTGGTGTTACGACAATTGCGGATACGCATGTGTGGATGCGACAATTGCGGATTAAATATTTTTAAAAAATTTTAAAAATGATTTAAATGATATTCCGTTTTTTTGTCTCGGCTGTCAGTTCCAGACTTCTGACGGTTTCCGAATCATTTTTAGACAGATGTGGCACTGAAAACTTTAAAAAATCTTAAACTTTTTAAA